TCTGTCTTGTCATGGCACTTGAGGGCAAATATTTGGTTGGATCATAGAGAGTTTTTGACTAAATGATGCACAGGAATAGTCTTCGTTTAGTTGTTTACAGCTCTATATGGGACTGTTTTTTGATTTATGAATGTTTATTTAACCATGAGACTCCCACTGAGAAAATCTTTGTCATGTGAGTAGTGGCCCTGACGCTATTGTACATGTTTTTGACAGAAGACACTCTGTTCCACCTTGTGATGTCACATGGTAATTAGAGCCCGACCGATATGGATTTTGCTGTGGCCGATATGAAACCGATATAATGGGAGTTGGCGCTGCCGATAGCCGATATAATCGCCGATATATTTAGTGATGTAAAAATTCACTGTAAATGTTGAATTGTTTAAAAAACTTAGGTTTGGCTCTGGTGGATTTTAAATTGGGTTTATTTAGGCAACATTTATTGTTATTCTGCCTCTTTACATCATATTTACAGACAGTAGGTTGGCTTAATGGCATTTCTGTATCACATTCTAGACACTAGTGATGGGTATTCCAGTTCTTTTTAGAGAACCGGCTCTTTTGGCTCGGCTCACTAAAAGCTGCTGGTTCTTTTGGCTCCCAAGTGGCTCTTCAGATTGTTTTGTTGCAAGCAGGACTGAATCAGGACTGAACCAGGTCTAAACCAGGACTGAAAAAGGACTAAACTGGGACTTATTTATTTTATGCTAAACTACAGTCAAATATGCTCGTTTTTTTATTTTTATTTTTTTTAATCCTACGTACACGCAAATTTCTCAAAGTTTCCTTTTTAGCCGCTGCCGCTGTCAAACCACGAATCACGCGGCGTGAAGAGAAAACAAGTGAGAGAAAGAGAAAACACGGCTCCCAATAAGGATCAGGCTCCCGTCGTTCCCTTCAAAGAGCCGGTTCTAAGAGTCATTTCGTTCGCGACGGACCCATCACTAGTAAAGAAAGTAGCGCTATTAGCCTTTAGCCGTAAATACGTGCGCGCCGCGGTAATTATATGCGCAAATGTCATAATTCACACGTCTATTCACAGCTCATTTACATATCAGTGCAGGTCCAGTAACAAATATACGGCCAATATAGTCACTTTAGAACAGACCAATAGAAAACAGTCTGTTTATGTGCGGGAGCTACAGCAGCTAACCCATAACAAATGACAAAAACTAGCTTCAGAGTCGACATATTTCCAACACTCACCGCTCACACAGGCTCCTCCTCACATCACAAATCTGCACTAATAAATGTCCTTTTAATCCAGACTCAAACCGATTGTCCGTAAAAAGAATATAATCTCAGTGTTTGGATCTGTGTCTGCAGGTGTGAACAAACACACGTGAGTAACGCGACTCTGTGGTGTGTTCAGGGACAGTACGGGCACACACACACAAATGACTCCGTAGATAAATACTGATGAGGAGCCACATATTAGGACATTTATCTGTCTGTAAATTGGATTAAATGAACAGAATGTAGAGAGTCTAAGCTTTATAACGAGGTATAACATGCCCACGTGAAATATCGGCCCATATCAGCAAGCATATCGGCCGATAGCCGATATGCCTAAAGTTGCCCATATCAGCCGATAATATCAGCCAACCGATATATCGGTCGGGCTCTAATGGTAATACAGGAAGTGCTCCACTGTGCTCCATAGACATTCACTAGAATCATATTGTTGATTTCAGTCCTGGAAATGCCAAACTCTACAGAACTAAACTTGAAAACTACTGCTTCATGACATCGCATGTAGGGGCGTGCAAAAATATAGAAATATCGATGTATCTTATAGTTTAATTTGATGATACGTTATCGGTATAGTGGGCTGCTGTATCGATTATATTTCAGATATTTATTTATTTATTTTTGTATATTTTGCTAAAGTATTTTGTGAAAGAGCTACAGTTGTGTTGCTCTTTTGGACAAAGTTCACTTGTTTATGCAGCACATTTGATATTTTCACGGTTTTGAGCAAAATGGGTGTTTTTCAGATGAACTTAGTGGTTTAATAAAGACTTGTAGCATCAGAGTTATGATTGAAGCTTTGTTTTTTACTTAACCGTATCGAGTAGTTTTGAAATATATTTGTATTGAATCATATTGAATCGAAAGTGCACTGTATTGAAAACCGTCTTGTATCGTGGCTTATGTATCGAGGTATGTATTGTATCGTATACCCAGTCCTAATCACAAGGTGGAACAGAGCATTTGGAGCTTTGTTAGGAGATGTAGACAGACTAATCATAAAGTGTTACTCGAACATGTGTGAATGAAACAAAACACACTCCAGTTGCAAGTTTTAAAAGTATGGTTCCAATTTTAATGATTATGGCACAGAGAAGACTGAGGTTTGATTGCTACGAAATGAGGAACTCAAGGAAATGAAATAAAATGATGTGAGAGCACAGGAGGCAAAAGAGAAGGTCAGATGGTACATGCTTTTAGTGGAAATGCTCTTTTGATTCGATACAATATATTTCAAATCAATTTGACTTTATTTTTATTGAACCATACCTGAATCATTGCTGTGAAAAGTCTTAGTTAAACCGCTTCTTGTGCAAAGTACACAAAAATATTTTACTCAACAAAACAGTGAAAATGTCAAATGTGTTGCATAAATGAGTACAGTAAAATATACCAAAAATAGTAATAGTAATACATCAATACTACAGCCCACAATATTGATACTGTATTATCAAATTAAACGAGAAGGTATTTTGATATTTTTGCTTCTAGGCCCCCTTATATTTATATTTTGGCCAATTTACAACTTAACTCAGTTTTTGTATACAATCCAAATGTGCAAACATGGGAAAAAATCTCAAGATGATTTTCAGCATGTGTGCGCAGTCTCTTCGCAATATTGTCTCTTGACTTCTTGTCCAATCCCTCGTTGATAAACAAATAATCTGTCTATTAGCATTTTATTGTTTTAGCCTTCGTTACTCTGCTCACTTTTACAACTGCATGACTCCTGTGTGTGCCAACAGAAGTGTCCCAGCTACTGTAATAAACACTGTATGATCCAATAAAACCTTTTATACATTGAACTTGTGACACTACAAGATCCACGTCTCAGCAGTGACCGGCCACCTCCTGGACCCTGGATATAAATATCAAGTTTTCCTTTGTTACGAATCATTTTATGGAGCTAAATTATTCCCTGATTGTGGCAAAGCTGGACTGGTGCAGGCAGAGTTGTTTTAGTTTTAGTTTTTCCTCGAGTGATGCAGAAAAGAGGGAACCACTGTCTGTGAATGATCATGTCTGTTAGTCGTAGTGCAGCTCGATCCTGGAGAAGTACATTTCTCGTTAATTTATCACACGACTCGCAGAAAAAAATGTTTGAAAGCCCAGGGCCTATCAGCTGTGTGGTAAATAATGACCACAAGACCTATTACTTTTTCAAATTTAAAATCTGATTCTGAATCTTTATAAGCTGCTATGTTTTTAAAGCATTGCACAGGACCTTGTGTTTTAAATGTCCTTTTTTGGTTTTAAATTTACGGTTTGCACGTAGTTGTCATATCACTGATCACTTAATATGAACCAACTGAACCAGAGCGGGCGTCACTGCTGAGATCCATTTAGAATATTTGTTGTTTTGAAGATGCACAAAATTTGAATATTGACAGAGTAATTTACACATTAGCTACAAGGGAATAAATAGGCTTGAGATAAGATCTTGTGCCAAAAGATCTCGCGAGACAGAATTGCCACAAGATCATGCACACAAGAGAAAAATGACCTTGTATGAGATTTTCCCCATGTTTCGATTGGTTAAAAAGTCACAAAAAGCAGAGCTACAGCAAAAATATAAAATTAAGTTAAATAACAATTTAAGAATGAAACTGGCAATGTCAAAATCTTTTCTTGTCTTGCCTCGTTTTTGTAGATCCAATCTTGTGTCTCAAATCAATTTGTG